CTTTTTGCAGGATCTTTAGTCCATGTTGCTGGCAAATAGGTGAAGAACAGACAGGTAGGATGGTAAGTACACACTATTTGGCAGTAATTGGCACTCGGTGTATAAAACGTAGTGAGGTCTCCACCTTGGAAGTATGTATTTTCATAGATCTGAGTCACACATTCTGATGCAGAATAACAAAACATGTCAATTATTAAAGATGGGAGCATGCAGTTCAGCAGTAGAGGATGAAGCCACTGCTCCTCTTTGTCATGGACCTGGCTTTTAAGAAAGTCTGTTGGCAGGAAAAGTGGGTAAGGGGGGTGAGTAGCACAGTTCCTCTGAGAGTCTCATCTTTGCTCTCCAGCAGAAATAAAACTCCCTCGGATGTCTCCCCCCATTCCCTGCCTCATACCCAATGCTGGAGCAGGGCAGCTTGAGCCAAGACAGAAACCCAAGCAGCAGGATAGGCCATATCTGCATGGCAGATAGGGAAAGTACCATCTCATGGCAGATCTCAGGAGTAGCAGAAGCCTCTTCGGAGAGAGACCACCATTATGAGGAAAACGAGGAGGAGGAAATGCAGAGACCAAAAAGATTTAGTAACTTTTATGTAAAGACAGTCCTATTTTGTCCAGTGATGCTCTGAGGCCAGAGTCCCAGGCGGTGCCACTGTACACAGCCTCAATGACTCAGAGCATTTCATAAACCTTCTGCTCCCTCACACTTCACCTTGAACCCCCCAACTTGCTTTACAATGAAGAAAATACTGTTTCAGGAGTAGCATCTCACAATGGTCCAGAATAAAAATGAGCTCAACTACGACCATGCATCTGCAGGAATATTGAACTCTGAATGACCTACTGAACTCTGTAATGACAACCACTCACACTCCAGAGCCATGCAACAAAGGTACCTAAGCAGCAACCTGCTCCCATCTTTCAAAATGAAGGCACTTGTAAGGTCTCCATGTTAAAACACACAAGAGAGCTGTCTTTGCACAGAAGACCACTATCTTCTTGAATTTGCCCTCCAAAAGAAGTAGCAAACCAGCAAGTATGCCAATTTTTATTCCTGTATCTACAAAAGTGCTTTTTCTCAGCTAAAAGATAAAGAGAAAATAATGTAATTTTGCAGACTGGGAGGAAAACCTAAGTGAAAACATTTTATCTACTGGTTTAATCTGTTACTACAGAGCAATCATAATGTATGAAACACTATTTAAAATGAAAAGAAATAGAACTATCATATTGGACTTTATAGTTCTAAAATATTACAAGTGGATTTTATTTGTTAATGTGATTATAAACTCTGCATAGGCAATTCTATGTTTCCTGCACATAAGTAAAATATATACTTAAAAAAAAAAGAAAAGGAAAAAGCAAGGAATTATTAGACAATGTGCTAGATATCCTAATATTTTTCAAAGCTGAATTTCTTATTAATAAAAATTTGTACTTTATAAATATCCATATTTTTCTGGTATGTATACTTCCAAGATACTTCTCTAAAAATTGGTAATTATTGTTCTCAGTAGAGTTTCTTCGCCCAACTTTGTCATTAACAGAAAAGAATACTCTAAGTGTTTGCTGTATCAGATATTTGGGATCTTATTTATCTTCTTCTAGTGTAAATTAACACACAAAAATTTTATTTATGCTGTAAAACTATGCACCATGTAGAACCATGCCAGTTCTGAACACGTTAATTTAATAAAAACGTTTTCTAGCCCTCAGAAATTTTCCAAGATTTTAGTTTTGCTGAGATTTAAAGCCAGGAAAAATATTTTCTTAAATAATACTACATTTATCAAACAGATTTTGCTAAAAAGCTGTTACCTAACTGTTGTCTGAGAAAACAGATAATACATTACCGAACTTAACTTCTGTTAGGCCTTAGTTATAACTTATCAGCAAAAGGAATTTCAGAGAAATATAATGCAATTTTTGTAGTTTAACTTTTGCTAACTGAACAAAGTAAATCATTAACACAGACTGAAAAAAATGTACAATTATCAATTTTCCACAGTACCAAGAGAATTCTAAAAACCATTTACAACAAAACAACTGGTTTTGGAGTTATTCACTGTTATTGCAATAGTCTTTCAAGCACAGTGGTACACAGGTGTTACACAGATAATTTTCACATGAGTAATTTCACACAAAGGCAACGTGTGAGTATGACTGAACTTGGTGGGATTTGCTTATTTAAAAAAAATAAAAAAGGATGATTGTTCTGAAGCTCAGCTGGTGTCTCACAGTGAGGCTGCCCATCAGTCCTGCCTCCTACCTGAGGGCAGCATCTGGGGAAAGGTCTGAGGCTCCTTTGCAGCCAGGAAGAGGCAGATAGTGATAGCTCACCCAGCACTGCCAGACTGAGCCTACAGCAGCCAGCACACATTACTGCAATGGGGGTGGCAGGACAGTATCAGTAAAGCCCCATTAGAAAGTTCCATGTCAGATAATAGGGTTATGCGAGTTACCCAAACTTAACTAAGCACAACTCAGCAGAATCAAAACAGCTCTCTCAGGACCAGACTGTAGTTATCATCTCCCCACCTATAAGAGTTGTGTTACTCTGTGTGTCAATCTCAGAAATTATAGATTCACTTACCACTGTAAACCGAAGCAAGTAAGAAAATGAAATTAAAAGTCCGATAAATCCAAATCATCCTAAAAACCACAAAATTATTATTTAGGATGTGTTAAATAAAGGGTGTATAACTAGTTTTATAAGGCACCACAAAGCATAACACTGATTTACAATTGTACTGTTTCACCATTAATTCAATATTACTTTGAAATTTACAAATTACAGCTGTGATATACAGTTTTGGTATATCTAAAGTAGCATGGAAGAGTAACAAAAGTTATCCCTTTACTTATGCTTGTAAGAAGCAATAAAGCTTATAAGCACTTCAAGAATTTCTACTTTTTTTAACAGCAGAATATTTATTCTTGCTTAGACTGGGAGCAATATTACATTGAAATGATATTACTAATCCTGACTCTCCTGATAGTTTAGTAGATACTGTTATCCCCATAGCAAACAAATGACTCACACTCACTTCTTCTGGTATATGCTATATGAATTCTAAACCCTTTCTTTTCACATGCAACAACTTAAGCTATGAAATAGTCAAATAAATTAACCACACAACACAAGTCATAAATATTTCAACATACACTGTCTTGCTGCTATGAAAACCTTTCACTGAATACCAGTTTCAATAACAATTACATACCTGAACATACAGTAGGTCTGGATGCATGGGTAAGGTTTATGCTCTACTAAAAAAAAAAAAAAAGAAGTCCACACTTCGTGTTAAATATTACTGTGCCTGCAATGCTAACTTATCTTTAATATTTACTTTGAACGGGTACCTTACCTTTTCTGTCGATAGCTACTGACCTTGGGACCCATTTTCAGAACATCCATCATCCACACTGCACTGAAATAGATGTTCTGGTTTTACACCAGCTGAGCATCTGCCTCTTTCATAGCATTTTAAATAAAAGGCAAATCTCTAATTCAGAACAGTCAGAGTATCTGCTGCTAGCACAGGAACCCACATAAACAAGGAACCAGAGCTGACTCAAGAACAAATCCTGACCCAGGGGAGCTGGAGTGGGGGAATCCACATGAAATTAGTCAGACTAGTAACTCAGACCCAAGTAAACAACACCATTATGAAACTACAGCAGCTGAGGACAGAATCATCACCCATATTTTCTTATTATTACATCATTTTCTTGAGGTACTCCCTTGACGAACACAGATATATACTTCAACTATGTATACTGTGCTCTTAACATCATTTCAAGTTCTCATTCCTCCTTTTCAATACTCCACAGAAATTATCCTGTCTACATCTTCCAAGTAATTTTACTGTCGGCCTTTCCACACTCCTGTTTTTGTTGCTAAGTTCAACAAAGACTGTCTTCAGTTTGCCAGAAAGCAGAAAAAACACAAGCCTGTTTGCAGATGTATGAAATGTAAATACAACAAGTAGTCAAACTTAATTTCTAGCTTATCTGAATCACTTGTTTTGATTTCTATTATTCTTTTTAATAGGTGTTAAAAGCCAAAAAAAAAAATCTTTCAAATCTGAGAAAAAAAAAAAGAAAAAAAAGGTGTTTTGTTTCACAGTGAAACTGCTTAAGTAATGGCTCTTCCTTTCTCCCCACTCTTTTTTCGTCTTTTCTTTTAAATCAAATATGGAAAAGACAGATATATATACTCAACTCAAAAAGTATCAAGATCAAAACATTCCACCCAACTATGACCCTTTTGAGCATCCTGATGATTGAAATCACTTCTCCATGATTTAAGGGCCAGCAAGGTCTCCAACTCCTCCTTACAGAAGAAGAACTGTCTCAAATAAAGTCTTCATACTCTCTCATGTATCAATTTGCTTTGCCCTGACAGGTTTGTAGGAGAGGACTCAACTGTTTTCAGTAAGCAGCTTTCATTTTTATGTGCTCTATTCTGTTTTACGTGTGCAACACTGAGAGTGCTAGAAGTCTTTACTGAAAAACACATCGATAGTTTAGTCCTGTGACACGAAATGTTTTGAGACTAAGATGTCTGTACAGCTCTGACCTTTAACTCAGAAAAGCAGATTTTTATATTGGTCACAGGGTGGACAGGTATCATGGGAACACAGTTCTGGAAAAGTACACCACACCATTGCCAGGCAACACCACTGAAGCCTTCCTGTATAGTCACAAATATGCAACTCTTTTCTCATCCAAAAAGTGATGATAATTTTTCACACCCCTGGAAAAATTTTCACCTTTACTTCAAATTACGAAGTTTTCATCGCCATGAAAGTAATCACAAAACCTACCACTTATCAGAATATTTATAAAAAAAACAAGCTGAACTTACAACTTTTTGTATTGTTCAACTTGTATTAGTGTTCAGTTAAAAAAATTATTTTGCCTTTGTGTGTGTGTGTGTACATGTCTGCATGCATTTCACTTGGTGGCACAAAAGGATTAGAACTTTTCTCCAAGGACTTAATTTCTTCACTTTTTATTTCTCATCTAGGCTTTCCAGGTCAGATATTGGGCAGTTATTACAGTTCATTACTATCTTATTAAAACACAAGCAAACAAACAAAAACCCCAAAAAACTCCAACTCCATACTTTTGGAAAGATAAGGTATACAGTTCAAATAAACAGAAAAAACAGAGCAGATTGATGATAAATTGAGTGTTTTAGCTCAATTTAGAGCTAAAACACATGGCAAAATTATCTGTTTGCAGCAGTGTACTAAAATCTACATATGAAGTTTTGTCTTTTACAGCATGAGGATTAAATTCAGGAAGGCAGGTGGATGTTTACAAAGCACCATTAGTCCACCTCTTGCGTGAGTCCAAACATGCAGCTTTCAGACACCAAAAAGCAGTTTGTGTCAAGCTGGCTGGAAACTTCTAGTTCCTCTGAGGCATCTGCAGGAGCTCTCAAGCAGAACCTCCCAAGATGTTACACAGGGTTTATTGTCAGTGTTCTCCATAACAGCTGTAAACCATTAACCAGAAACACTCATATGCTCCGTTTCTGCTATCCCAGTAGAAAGTTCAGTAGCTTCAGTATTTTTCCTCAGTATTTATTTCCTTAGGAGCCTCAGACTGCTTTAAAACCAAATTTCACAACTGAAGATGAGAGGTCACCGCCATTTCAGAGCAGCTTCAAACACAAAGATTACAGGATTAAATCAGTGCTTATCTTGGCAAAGATACTATGTGCATCACTAAATAGGGATTTTCCACTTCAGCAACATGGGCCAGTATTTCAGCCCATGCACTTTTAATAATGAGTTTCTCATTACAGTTTTATCTAGTTTTTGTCTCAATTGTTTTCTTGTTCACATCAGAAATCATAATAAATTATAATTTACTTGAGATCTCATTATATGAGAAGAGTATGATGCAAAAACAAAGTGCAAGAAAAAATATTGGCCAGAATAGCTAGAAGTAAAAAAAATTATCTTATGGAAGGAATTTCTATAATTTGGTCTATCTTACAAACTGTTTCTACAAAATAGATCCCACAGAAGAAAAGGAAGTCTTGAAAGTCTTCATCTTTAAGGACATAGTTTAGGAAAACATGAGGTACCTCTCCAGGTTTCAACTACATACCAAAAGTCCTGAGAAAACATATCTTGGATGCAAATCTTGTATACCTTGAAAGCTCACACTGCTGAGTACTAGAAAGTATGAAATAATTCCTTAAGAAAACACATGTCATATGAACATATGAAGGTAGTCTCAAAAGTTATCTCATTATAAAGAAAACAATGTTTACATTCAGCCCCGGAAACTTAAGTTCTTGTTATTATACAGAAATGAAACCTATTTGAAAAAGAAGGTTGAAGAATGCAGCCATATTACCATTGCTACATGACTTTTTTTTTTCTTAAGGGCAAAATTTTTTTTCTTAAGGGCAAAATCACAAACTCTTTGTCAAGATCTGTAATTTCATTTATGTAAACTCAACAATTAAAAACTTTCTTTTTATAAGATCTTGTCTGAGAGGAAGAATTATCACTTGTACCTTTCCAAACCAAAGAAACCTGAAAACTCTACAAATATTTGAGACTATCAATTACCTGGCAAATGCTATGGCATGTAACCAGATCACTTAAATCACAGGCATTGCTGTTGTTACTACCATAACTTAAGGTTTTGTGGCACTGTTGCAATAGAATAGTTTCATCTGAGCAGATAAGGCATTAAAAGTTAATATTTAAAGACTTGCAGTTCAAAGATTAACATGAAGTTCACAAGCACTAGAAAAGTAGAGCAATTTAGGACTATTACATCATCTTTAATGAAACAGTAACAACCAGTTTTAACAAACTGCTGGACTGACATCAAAATATCTGATTTTAAAACATTTCAGCCTAAATAGCTTGAAAATGTTTGGAAGTAAACCCATTGAAATGGGTTTCATTCTGATCCAGCATTTGGTCTCCTCTTCAGCTTAATCCAGATGCCATTATTTGGACGAAGAATCAATTCTCCAGCCATACGAAGCTCTTCTGGCTTTTGACATGACTCCACCCAAAAGCGCCGCAGGATGAGGGCTAGAAGAGTTTTCTCCTCCATTTGCGCAAAGCGCTGACCTACAAGTTACAGGGCAGGAAGAAAAGTTATTGTAAGGTTGCATCAATGGCTGCTGCACTTGGATGTTCACCGTGATACTCCCAGGAACAGGAGAGAGCAAGGACTGTGCATCTGCCTTGAGAACAGAACTAGCCTTAGGCCAAAATCGAGTTTACATGGATACTAACAATACTAGCACTTTTCTCAGCATGAAAACTCTGGCCTTCCTGGGACAATCCACATTGTGTCTTCCTTCCCATAGTACACAGAATTCAAACAGCAAAGCAGAAACAGTCAACACTTTTTATGGAACTTCTACAAAACACAGCCTTGTCATATCTCTTGGATGGACTAGGCAGGGGGAACGGATGGCAGACCAGAGCAGAAGATGCCATACAGGGACTGTGGAGAGTGAAAAATCTCATTGGTCCATATATGTGGAGAGGAGCAAAGGAGGTATGACTGCAATGGAATGACAGATAGATCTTCCTTCAGAGATCATTAAACCTCACACTGACGATTTGGTAGCACAGACGGCAAAGTTCAATTTACACTTCAGAGAAAGGTGAAGAAGGAAAGGGGAGAACAGAGAAACATGAGGGAAATCAAACCAAGTGCCACAATCCTGGCAGTTCACACAAACTAAACTGAAAAATGGGCACAGGACACAAAGCCAGGGCTCAAAACTTTTTCTGTTCTCCCCTCTGTATAATATGCTTAGACAGATGTCCATACACATGAACATAGTGATGCATTTCTGCAATGATATTAATGAACCATCTCTCCTGCACATGTTCCTTCACACTCAGGAACTAGCTAGACATGTTAGATTAGATTAGATTTCTCTTTGGAACATGGAAAGACCTAGTTTACTGTTCTTATGGGAAGGACACCTACTACCAATGAGACAAATCAAAACAAATCAACACCATCCCCCCCCCAAAAGAAATCAAACCAAACCAACAAAATCAAAAACCTAGAAGTTATATTTCCTGTTCTTGTAAATGGCATGACATTTTCTGGATATTCCCCGCCTGCAGTTAAAATCAGTGCAGGGAACAGTCTTTTCATGTGTTCTACAATAAAACTAACAATGCCTCTATTCTGAGCACAGATGAACGCCAAGCATCTCAGTGGCATCAGAAGAGCTAACAAGTTCTGGGATGACAGTGAAAAGACCAAATCAACTACAGTGTCAGAAAAGAGGGAAAAAATACATCAGTTGCAGACTGCATGTCTGGGACACTCAGTTCAGATCATGAGAGAGACAGAGGAGATGTTTCCAGAGCAAAACAGGTGCAGGGCATTTGTCTTCTCTCACTCTGTCCTGCTAACACTGAGAATCAGAAATTTGGAAGGAATCCTGTCCTAACACAAGAGCCAAATAACATACTGCCAGGCTGCACAGGCAGTGAGGAGGAAACATCAGCGTGATAGACACTGGTCTCTAGGAAGAAACAAATGTGGCAGCTCAAGAAGAAACCTGGGAAGAAACAAATGTGGCAGCTCAAGCACTAGGCTTCCAGGGCCCACAGCGCCCAGAATTCAGGGGCTGGGTGTGGCAGGGGCAGGAAGGACAGTACACAATTAGCAGGCATATCAAGACTTAAATTTATGATACACTCGTTGCTGCCTCAGTTACCACACCAAAAGCCAAACTGTCACATTACAAAGACTTCTTCAGACACCTACCAATGCAGTTCCTGGGACCAGCTGAGAAGGGCACGTAAGCATATGGGTGCCTTCCCTTAGAATTTTCAGAGAAGAATCTTTCAGGCCTGAACTCCTCTGGGTCCGGGAAGATCTCCGGGTCTCTGTGCAGGGCATAAGTTAAAACAAGAACAGTTGTGCCTTTTGGTATCTGATACCCACCTAAAGAGAAAAGGGAAAGGAAGAAAAAGGGTCAAAACAACAGCAAATAAGTGACTTTCTATACACAACAGCACAGTAAAAAACAAAACAATGCTGCCATTTACTTGGGAAACATCTCCAATGAGGACATGCTAACAGGACAGAAAGTGGCAAACACAGCTTACTTACTAATACAGCAGTCCTCTCTCAAGGTACGGCCAAACATGGGAACTGAAGGGAAGAGCCGAAGGGCTTCTTTCACAACACACTCAAGGTATCGAAGCTGTTTCAAGTCGTCTGTTGTAACAGGACGCTCAGTGTTGTCTGTCCAAAAACAAACAGGGGAACGAGCAAGATCAAAACTCCCCATTTCTGGCTAAACAAACTCACCCTAGATCCCTCCAGGAATTCCTATCATGCACCAAGACTACATACAAGAACCTGTTACACATATATTGAACATGCATATCTTGCCCCCAAGATGTAAGGTTGGTTGAACACCCCTACAGATCTTCCCACACACGTCCCAATCACTTCTAGCTGCTGAAAGCTCCAAAAGGGCCAGAAGGCATGCTCCTAACTCCCCTTCTGTATCTCAGCTTCCAACACATCTCCACTCACAAATGCATCAACTACCACCAAGTTGAAGGGGGGAATGGAAACTTACCAAACACCTCGTCCAATTCTTTGTGAACCTTCTTCTGAACTTCAGGATTATGTCCAAGCAAGTATAGGACCCAGTTCATAGCAGCTGCTGTTGTATCATGGCCCTAGAGGTTCAGATTTACAAAGACATTCACTTCAACTCTATTCCTGTGCACCAGTGGGCTTTGCAAATACTTAGGTATGCAGGTAATATGGAAAGCGACACTTATTAGTCCCATGACCACGAGAAAAACAAGAATCAAGAGTGAAACACTCTATTCAACACACTAATTATCAAGGTATAAGATGACCCACAATTCTGTCAGGTGCTGAAAACTGACCAAAAGGGAAAAGTATTGAAATAACACAAGCAAAATCTCTCCTGATTCTCAGCTGTGTGAAGTATCAGTCTCTACACAATGAAACAGATGTATTTTCATATTTTTGGTTACTGTCCAGTCAACAACATAACATCTGGGGAGCCAATGACTACTGCAGGAGAGATAAAATGGACACAACCTGTAACCTTTACAAAACTGCCTAAAAATGGTCTAATAAGACACACTACAGTAGCTAAAGGAGAAAATACTTCATGGCTTCCTATGAAAAGGGGATCAACTACTAGTTCTCAGCACTTAGGAAGGCAATGAGAAGTAAGGAAAGGGGAGAGGAAAGGGGAACCAAAGAAGTAAAAAAAGAGAGAAAAAAGGGGAGAACAGAAAAGGGAAAAGTTGACCAAAAACGGATTTCGGTACTGAAAAAGTGCACCTGCAGTGAAGTTCAGGATTCTGATGTAGTACAGAAATAGTAATAATGGGAGGAGAACTTCTCTAGGTTACAATAGCAGTAACATGATTCTATGACATAAGCTCTTCTGAGACAGAATTCAGGTACACCTAATGGAAGCGTGTGGGAAACTTGTGAAAATCTTGTTTAGATCCTTCATTAGACAGAGAACCAGACATGAAGAAGGGCCATGAAAATGAGAGGGTTTGGAGAGAATGGTTTTAAACTAAAAGAGAAGAGATTTAAATTAGATGTTAGGAAGAAATTCTTTACTCACAGAGCAGTGAGGAATATCTTGTCCAGAGAAGTTGTGAATGTCCTGTCTCTCAAGATGCCCAAGGCCAAGTGGGATGGGGCCCTGGGCAACCTAATCTAACAGGTGACATCCTTGACCATGGCAGGAGGGTTGGAATCAGATGATCTTTAAGGTCCCTTCCAACCCAAACCATTCTGTGTAAGATTCTGTGAGAAGACAACACACTAATACACAGCTGACAACAGAACCAGGAAAAGCCAGCATGGCAATGGACAAAACGTGAGGAGAGATGACAAAATGCAAGTCAAAACACCGAAACCATTCAGAGCTCTGTTCAGTGTTAATGAGGTTTGCAACATAAGCCAAGAGTCCACGGTCCGCGTCAGTCATTAAGCTGGTATTACTCACCTGCTTTCATGAGTAGAGCCTGTTCATATAGGTAGGGCCTACCACACATGTATTGCCCAACATTTTGCCAGGGCACATCAACGTTTCTATCCTACCTTTGTAGGGTAGAAAGACTGATATTTCCTCTTAGGCTTCCAGGGCTAAAATAACTCCATACTAAAAGCAAGCTCCTGAATTAAGACAAGAGTCACTACCCTCAAATTCTGAATCTCAGGTTCTGGGAAAAAAACCATCCAAAATAAACAAATAGAACCAACATCAACAACAAAACAAAACAAAAAACAAAACCAGAAAAATCAAACCAAAACAAAACAAAAAAAACCACAAACAAACCTGTGGCTTCCTTGGTTACCTCAAACATGAAAGTATCCACTTCCTCACGAATGTCTCTGTAGCTCAGTTTGTTCCCTTCATCATCTGTTGTACTCAGCAGCATGTCCAGGAATGCTTTTCTCTTTTTGGAGACACTTTCTTCACAGTTGCCATCATTATCATGTTTTTTTTGCTTAGTGTTTTCAAGTTCTGCAGCTTTTTCTGCAATGACCTGAGATTAGAACCATTATATCAGATATCTTGCATTCAGCACAGGCCCATTGTCTACATCATACAGTTTTGTCCCAACTTATCAAAACAACAACATCCATCTATAGCAGTCCACATGATCTACTTAGCATAGCTATCAGCATTAGGTCATGAACTTTGACTGACCTTTTGTGTTAGTAGGTGAAATATGACCAACACCTCTTGTCCCATGCAACAGAATGAACCTTTGTGTGATCAAGAAATAGACAGCAAACTACATAAACAACTTGTTGATCATCAAGAAGTGTAAACATGTCCAGAGTACCTGGAACCAGCCAATCATGAATGTCAACAACGGCAACAGCAAATCAAAAAAATCATCACAATGTCAACAGACTAACCACTAATAAGATCTTCTCTATCCTATCCCGTAAACTAAGGAAAATATCTCACCTCCAACCTTGAGGAACCCAGGAGACTGAAGAGAAGACAAGACATACCACAACCCTGCATCAACGCTACACATAGCATCACTGAACCACTAGATTAAAGCTTCCCGAATTTTCTTCAGTATGAGAGCAATGGTTGAACTTCCCTTTTCTAGGCCCCAGTAACAGATTTCTTGTTGTTACCACCATTGTTGCAACAACAAAACAGAACCCTTCATAAACTGGCATTGCTTTTAAAAACAGAATAATTAAAAAGAAAGGCTGTAGAGCATGCAATTCTGTTCAGAGGAAGCACTGAATGGTAGAAGAAATGCAGTTTCATGCACACACATTGCTTGCCTCACTGAACATGCCTGTATGTCACATATTGAACCATCTTTCACAGAATCACAGAATATGCTGAGTTGGAAGGGACCCATAAGGATCACTGAGTCCAACTCCTGGTTCTGCACAGGCCCGTCCCCAAGAGTCACACCACGTGACTGAGAGTATTGTCCAAATGCTTCTTGAACTCTGTCAGGCCTGGTGCTCTGATCACTTCCCTGGGGAGCCCGTTCCAGTATCCAACCACAATCTAATATCCAACCTAAACCTACCCTGACACGACTTCAGGCCATTCCCTTGGGTCCTGTCCTGTCCTGGTCACCATAAAGAAGAGAACAATACCTACCCCTCCTCTTCCCCTCATAAGGAAGTTGTAGACGGAGGTCTCCCCTCAGTCTCCTCTTCTCCAGGCTGAACAGACCAAGTGACCTCAGCTGCTCCTCACACGGTTTCCCCTCAAGGCCCTTCATCATCTTTGTTGCCCTCCTTTGGACACTCTCTAATAGCTTAATATCTTTCTTATATTGTGGTGCCCAAAACTGCACACAATATTCAAGGTGAGGCCACACCAGTGCAGAGCAGAGCGGGACAATCCCCTCCCTCGACTGGCTGGCGATGCTTTGCCTGATGCCCCCAGGACACGGTTGGCCCTCCTGGCTGCCAGGGCACTGCTGACTCATATTCAACTTGCCATCAACCAGGATCCCCAGGTCCCTTTCCATGGCACTGCTTTCCAGCATCTCATTCCCCAGTCTGTACGAATATCCAGGGTTGCCCCATCCCAGGTGCAGAATCCAGTACTGTCCTTTGTTGAACTTCATATGGTTGGTGATCGCCCAGTCCTCTAATTTGTCAAGGTGACAGGTCACCGGTCTGAAGTTCCCCCATTCGCTATTACCCTCTGTGCTCAATCTGTGAGCCAATTGCTCACTCACCACGAAATGTGTTTATCCAGATGGACATTTTGTCCAGAAGGTCCAGTGAGAGACAGTACTGAAAGCTTTACTGAAATCCAAAAAGATTACATCAACTGGCTTCCCTTGATCAACTAGATGGATTACCTTGTCATAAAAGGAAATCAGGGTTGATAAGTAGGACTTTCCTCTCATGAAGCTGTGCTGGCTCAGTTCTTTCTGTCAGTACCTACACTAGGTGACATTATTATTTACTGTTTCTTTGTCATCTTCTAAGATTTGGCTTTTTATATTCAGCTACAGCATAGGAAGAGAGCAAGTGTTATCTTACGACCTCTTAAGAGCCTCTCTCATGTCTCACTGCTGCAATTCCCAATAAAAGGAAGCAAAACATGATATACTTAAAAAAAACACAATGTGGCTCATTATATGTAATCGAAGTTTGAAAACATCCTCGAAGTAGATTTGGAAGGCAAACATTAGCAAGAGTAGCGTGGGAATTATTTGGTGAGTGAAAGGGCTGTTATTTCCAGTCTAACGTAGTGAGAGAACACTGCATTTTATGCCAAGTCAGTGACGCACGCTTAATGGTTTCTGTGTCAAAGTGTCTTTCTGCTGATGTGGAGACCTGTATCTGTTTGCTTATCTGAGCAGTTCTGCTCTGAATAGGGAAAAATGAATATAGCCTTCAAATTCTGAGGGCTGGATCAAATGGCATCACCATGCAGAGCCCTACGCTTACTGCTCCAAACTTGGCAGTGAGCTCTTGCAGTGCTTCGGATGCTTCTCCTTCTGGGGCAGAACAAGAGTTCAATGAATTCCCGCTGTAAGTCCTGACACTCCCTTGGATTTGTATACTTCCTATTGTTTAAATCTGACAGAACTCCAGAAAGGGAAGTCAACTATTGTCTTCTTTTCGGGGAATTCCTCAGCATCCCAATTGAGAGAGAGCTCTTCTCTTAGTACATGCATATCAAGGAGGCTGAACCTCATCCCATTTGGAAGCTCTCTACTGAGTGCAAGACTTGGCTCCAATTATCATTATAAATAACAAACAAACAAACAAACAAAGAAATTATACTCTATCTGTAAAATTGTGAAGGATTTTGAGGTTCCTCTTGTGCTCTCTTCCTTCCTTGAATAGCATGTATAAAAGATCAGGCCAAAGCCAAGGGCTCTTCTGTCTCTGTTGGATTAGATCACTCATCCTAGGGGCAAAACAATTACATCATGTAACATTTATTGACAAAAAAATAAACTACAACACACTTTCAAAAACCAAAAAAAGTGTTCTATGTACTCTAATGAAGTAGAATTTAACAGATTGTGTGAGTTTAAACTCATTCATCTGAAAGGAAGGCTGTTCACATTTGTTTCCTGATCTCACACCATCTCAAAATTTCTGTTACCTGTCCCAGCATCACCATGTTTTATATCTTTAGGCATTGTTCTCTGAGAAGGAGAGCATATTCTCATTTAGTTGGAATCCTCTTGAAACAGACCTATTAAGTCTGTTTCCAGTTCAGTCCCATGTGACTTCAGTAAGGCACTGGCCATGTCGAAAAGACTACTCATGACAGGCTTCCAAAATATCTGCCCTGAGAACTCAGTCATCTGACATCATTACATTCCTACTTGATTGTCCAGATCCTATATACACCCGACACCATATAAAAGTATTTAAAACAAAGAACATGAGACTTAAGTATCCTTATGCTCAAACACAACTGGAGTACAATTCCAGATACCATATATGCCAGATAACATGTAAAAGAATTTAAAACAAAGAATATGAGACTTCAAGTATGCTCAAACAAACTGGAGTACATTTGGAAGGGCTGATTGTCATTGCTATGCAGCTCTTGAACATGCTTTGGCTGCAGAGACTTCAAGAAGTAGTTACTACATTTAGGCCAACTTCATACACACTTGTGGTACAATTTGGGAAAGGCCAAGGAATCGATGAAAATCAAACTCTAGAAGTCCACCCCTTCTTTTGTAACGTACCTGTAATCAACAAGCACCATTGAAAGCTTGGAGTGAGATCACAGAATCATAGAATCATTTAGGTTGAAAGAAACCTTTTAGATAATTGAGTTCAACTAGTTAACCCTAGTGTTAACTGACTGCTGAATCGTGACCCTAAGTGCCATATCTACAAGTCTTTCAAATACCTCCAGGGTATTTAGTGACTCAGGGTTGGTCTGTTCCAGTACTTTATATCCCTCCATCTCTGCCCCCCTGGCCTTCCCTCCTGACACCAGCAGCATCAACTCCAGCTCTATGCAGTAGCTAAGGAAAATGCCCATTTACCTGTAGATAGCAGAAACATAGTCAGAATTCTTATTCTTCTGAGCACCTACATTCTTGCCCATTGCTGTTTCTAGAAGGAGAAAAATATCAACATTTCACATGTGCAAAGTGAAATGCAAAGTCTGTGTACACAGTAAGTTACTACTGCTCCCAGCTTCTGACTGCCACCACAACATCCCTTTGACAGGTGAATATAAACATCCCTTTCCAGGTGATGAGCTTGCTTTGTGTTTCCATGCCCAGAAATCTTGCTCTTCAACACAACCTCACTTCAAATGCTATCTCTTTCATGCCAATCCCACAAACTCACCTGCTCAGATGCACATAATAAACCCTGGGAGAAAGGATGGCCTTGGGAGGATAGAAATGCATTCACACAATATGCAGGGACGTTTCTCTTCAATCACCTCCTCACACAAACTGGCACAGCTGTACTCATGAGCATCCACATAATTTACAGTCCCACCACAATAAATGAAGAGGACTTACCACAGATGATATCAAGGGCACACAGAGTGATGTCCAGAAAAACATCAAATGGTTCCTTGTCAACATGCTTTTCAAGTTTCTTAACCAAAATACTTCCTTGTTCATTCATAACCTCTAGAAAATCATTCAATATTGCAAAGTGGAAAGTGGGAGTTATCATCTTCCTCCGCGACCGCCACTTGTCTCCAGTGCTGTAAAATTAATGGGGTGAAGGAAGGGTTAAAAACTTCCAAGTCAAAAATAAAAACCTCACCATCACAGGAAGTATGCAGTAAATACTGCAGCCTGGAAGAGGTGGACACTGTAGATGTCTCTTCAAGCTGTTCATAGCACTCCCCAGAAGCAGCAAATGGCAATATTTCTTGCTCCAGATCTCTCAGAAGCAGAAGCCACCATTTCTCTAGCTGCTCTCAACAAACAGAGATGCCAACAAGCCTCCAGGCAATACAGCCTTGTTGGTCAGTGCACAGGCTCAGAGGGACCAAGCAGCTATTCAGCATCAAGGCCTCAACCCACCACAGTGTCTCTCTGAATCACTAGTCACGCTTGCCTTCATCTGCTGACTGCGAAATGAGGATTCCGGAGAACTAGGGCCTCGGGACATTACCAAAATGACTGCCTCAAGGCCTGGTTTCCAAGAATTCCCTTGGAGACAGGCAACCAGTTCCCTCATGCCAGTGAACAAGCAGAGAGCCACAGAGAATGAAAATAACTTCCTGAGGGTTCTTGTTTGCTTTTTCTGAATCACATGTGCCACAGGTACACAGCTCGCACCTCTGCTTACAAGGCAAAACCATCACACCACTACTCCTGTTAACTTGCTATTGGGGCACTCCTCAGGCCAGCTTATCTGCTTGCTGTCTACCAGTGCTGCCCTTAATCAGTAGAGACTGGAACATTTGCCTCCATTATGTTTTTGTAAGCACAAACAAGTCAAAATACCTCTGTAAGTCTATGGGATACAAAATAACAAACAAGGAAGAAGACTTAACAGTGAAGATGTCTGATGCCTATGGACTTAAACTTTCTGCACTTTGTTACTGCTTCCTAACTGGCTTCTTAAGGGCCATGAACAAAATTCAAGATAAAAGGCATTCCTCATTCTCTCACATAAACTTGCACTTCTCACACCACATGATCACAGTTGGCTTTTACATCACCATGGTCCCATCATAAAGCACAAGGAGTTCACCTCTGAGGGCTCCAAACAAGCAGCAAAGCCCATAGAAGAGAAACAAACTAACAGGGGGACCTTGACCTTCTCGCAAAAACTCAAAAGAGGCTCAAAGACACCAAAGCCACTCTACCCTCGCCTTGTTCTCACTCTTGAATATCTGCATCATCCAGAATAAACCTTCCTTTACCCTCCCAAGACTGGAGGACACCAAACCCTTACATCATTGCTCTTCCCTCTCTCCACTCCTGACCTACGCTCTTACCTGAGCTCACTTCTTATGATCCTCCACTTAATGAAGGAAATGAAGGGCAGGATGCAGATACTCTCCAATCCTACCCCAAAGCATCACCAGCCTCACGCCAATCCTACTGGTTTGCAGCATCACCAGCAGAGATAAGCAACGCACACAATCTCTCTGTTCAGAGATATACACAGCATTCCTGCCACCAAGATCTCTTCCTATCATATCCCCTGCGAATTTCAAAAAGACAGGAATGCAACTGCATTTCATTATACCTTGTCAGAAGCCCAGTGCCCAGCCATGGATGCAGGAAGTCGTACAGGTATGATTTTTCTATATGTTTTGAACTGTTCAAAATAACCTGTCAAAAAAATTAATAGCGAGGAAAAAAAAATATCATTTGTTAGATAGAGATTTCTTCACTCTGTCTTCAATAAACACTCCAACAGAGAGAAAACCCTGTCTTCTCAGTTGTAAAGTAAAATATGCAGGTATCCCCAGAAATGCCAACGCAGTAGAAAGAATTCAAAGTTTATTCAGAAGGCCAAAGCACAAGAAACTTACAAATACCTGACAGTGCTATTCAAGCACCAGGCCCCAGGGAAAAAAAAGGCAAGTTCATGCCCTGTACAGCACCTTTTTATCCCCTCCGTTTCTCTCCCACCTTCCCAAGGCCTCCCTGCATGTCTGTTAGAGTTATCGCTCTCCAGCATAGCAGAGAAACAGAGAGAACACAGCTCTCTCTGCAACCCCCTCTGGACCGCAGAAGGGAAGAAAAAAAAAACAACCCTCTTGAGAAGATAATCTGCAGGCTTCTTAAGTGAAAACGAGTTTCTAGCTTTCCCATTGCAAATTCTTCTGAAAGCACAACTATTCCTACACCAGTTCAAGGACAATCACTGGCAGTAGCAAAACTAATGACTACATTTTATGGCACCATGACAGACCCACCAAGTTCTAATGCAGAAGTCAGTCAGAGACAAGCACTGAAATCTGTATTTCATAATGTTCCATCGTTATTTCAGTGGTCCCACCTTCCCTGCTGTCTGCTTATCTGTTCTGATCTTGGGAGCAGAAGTTTTCACACATGTGAAAAAAAAAAGCTAAAGGAGATGCTTCTTCGTATAAAACATATTGTGTTGGTGCTTTCATTTGCTGGCCATCTTCAGTATCCCCCCCTTCCAGTTCTCCCCCCTCCCCACCCAGACTAGGCTTTTTTACATTCTTTTGCTTTAAACCTTTCTTTAGAACTGGGTCAGAGGACAACTCCAAGGAAAATCAGCCCAAGACCTTTTTAACAAAAACTAACAGGAGGGACACTACTCTGCATGACAGTAGAATAGGCAGGAGACCAGCACACTCACCTCCACACTGTCAGGGTGATACAGAACTACGACAGGCAATGGTCCTAGCCAAAGATTGAACAATGACCACTTCCTGAATTCTTCAGAATAAATTTTTAGTTGATTAAAAAAACCTAGAATAAGAAGGTAGATTAGAATTTATCAAAAAGGGGGGGTTATTAAATAAGACTTTAGAAAAACTTTTACACCATATGCCCTGCAATTTTGATTTTGTTGAAGCTTTATGATCAAGCAGCACATTTTGCACCTGTGGATTTTACAATTCAGATGTCCTAATCTCTAAGGGCACAGACTCATAAGATCATTTATGCCACAGAACACCTGAGAGATACCACTTCTGTCCAGCTGCCAATTGGACTTCATACCAGCGAGTTCAGCAATTCAGCCAATCCTCCTCCCACATTATTATACACTCATCCAATCCATATATTGTCAGTTTAGTTATACAGAAAGCATGGGAGATAGCTGGATCTGTGAGCAAGGGAGGAGCAGTAGATGGTGTTTAGTTTGATTCAAAAAGGTCTCTGATGCTATCTCATCGCAGACAGCATTCAGGTTCATTCTGCAATACTACATGTGGTGGCCATTATCAGGATATTCAAAGAATACCCTTTCAGAAGCGAGCTTAAACAATAAAAGACACCCTATCAAGCCTCTGCAGAGTTGAAAACTCAAAGGTCCCCAATCAGAGGAAAAAAAAAAGAAAAATAATCATTTCCTAATCAATGCACAAATACACCCTTCCCTAGTCTGAGTTCTAATGACACCTCATCCAACAGGTTTAAGAGTGTCAGATTATTTTGCTATTTTTAAAATATTTTTCCTAGCATTGCCATGATTTAAATATCATGTTTTCCAGCATTTGTCTACCAATACCAACAAACCAAATCACCATCATATGAAAAGCCCTTCTTTTTTCTGCTATAAAACTTTACCATTTTTTAAAAAAGCTCTCTCTTTTTCATTGTCACATTTTAAATGGAAAGTATTATAAATCACAAACTTCACTCATTTTTACATAAATAAACAAGAACAAAGACACTAATTTAACTAAAGCATGGAGGTTATGTGACTTCTGCTAACAAATGAGATTAAAGACTCCAAAGAACATCAGGGTCTCTAGCAAACTGCTTTCTGGAGATAGAAACAATGCTCTGTTTTGTTCTGGTTTTTAAAGAAAATTTAAAAAGAAGAGGGGGGGAAAAAAAAAGAAAAAAATAAAAGAAGAAGATTCATCTCTCAGTCAGGGTCGTATAAACATCCTGACTATGATCCTCCTACTGCTTCCCCAAAGCCAGCTTCCTGGAAAGCTGCTTGCCCTCACATCCACCAAAGATCTCTCATATCTGTATTTAGATGTGGGGTTCAATGCAGGGGAAAGATATGACAGTGTACCCTTGTGAACTGAGGCACCATGTCTCGGCATGGGTCAGCACTGAGCAATTTGTGTTCCAATGCTGTATTCGTCCTTGACTTTACCATGCTTGCATAGTCTCTCTTCTGGCAGCATACCAGGCAGCACAGCCAGGAACACATGTGCACAGAGCAGAACCAGCATAGAGAGGCATCACAAACACACACAGAAGCATCTGGGCCACTGACAGCACAGCCATCAATGCTTTCACACCACAAACTCCTTAAGAAATATGCTCCTGTTAAAAAAAACAGGTACCAAATGGAAAGGGAACATCTAGCACATTAGTGCTCTCTCAAGTACCTGGCAAAAAAGAAGGTCCCATTAATGAGTGCAAGAACAGAAAGGTTTGCTTTTGAGGGATGTACTGTAAATACTCAGCAAGTTCTTTTGCATCTAACACATGTAAGTCACAGCTAATTCTGTGATTGCTGAAAGTGACCCAGCAACTCAGCATGATAAAGTCCCTTTCACATGCTTACTTGAGGGAAGAGAATTGTTTAAAGTTTTGTTTGGATCACAGCTAGCAGTCACGAGAACACAGTGCTCTGCTTTGTGAAATACCACTTCCTGCAAGAGCCCTCAGTATGCCTCCCTGTTGGAAAAACACATCTGACAGCATTCATCCTCCACCCTACCAACAACTGTAACCATCTGAGTCCAGCAGCAGCATCTGGAAGCTGCTGTCAGACTGAATTTCCAGTTAATCTCTGACTGATAATAATGCTACATTTATGTAGTTCCTCTCATTTCCCCTTCACTGCCCACTCCTCACACAGTTCCCCTCTGCAGATTGCCCACAGCCCCAGACAGACCTAAATGCATCAGCACACCTTTGATCTCCCATTCCCCTTCCCCAGCCAGCCACAGCTCAAACACACAAGCACCTCACCAGCACTGGCTCCTCCAGCAAACCCCACAGCGCAGGGATCTCACAGCCGGGCTACAGCGTGAGTTGGCCTTACCTTCTCCACTCCGTTCTAAGAGTAGAGCATTTCCCAGCACAGGATAGCAGGGGCTGATACCCGGGATTGACTTCATCATCCACCATCGCCTCCAGTAACTCATCAGGGAGGGCAGGGAGCATAAAGCCACAACTGTCAACAACAGAGTGATGACCCCAGCCCCCAAGGGCAGCAGCTGGAGTCTTCCTGAGGATCCTTGCATAACCTCCATCATCACCTCTCAGCCTCCTGCTGCAAGCCTTGATCCCTGCTGCGGAACTGGCACTGCCTGTACCCGCCAGTGCCGTTGCACCAAGGTGAGTGTGTGGGGAATTTGGCCAGGAGAGCAGGAGGCGGAGCTGTCACAAAGACCACAGGCGCAGCTTCTTGCCAGGGAAATAAACAGATTTAAAAAACACGCACATGGAGCGACTGCCTGTAAGCATTTCCTAATGGCAGAGAAGTTTGAGGGAACAGTGCTCCTTCCCTGCCCTCACTTCACTCCTCTGACTCAAATGAAAAGTGAGAAAGTTCTTTGCAGGCCCATGCAATACCTCAGCAGGAAACGACATAAAGCACTGCCAAGAGAAAACACACATTTTTGATGATTTGGGAAGGATGAGTTTTCTCAGTATCATCTTTCTCCATCTGTTTTCAGGTGCTCAGAGAACACTATTTTGCCATACAGAACTGAACTGCTCCAGTGCTGTCCAACACTATGACTGAAGGGTGAGATGGGGAATATCTTTAAGCTTCAGTTGGGTTGATGGTTTCAGGGAGTTACCCAAACCAGATCCCATATAGACCCATGATCAAGAGCAGCACTGCAAAGCACACTGATGCTTCTCAGCTCAAATGGCCTTTACTGACGTCACTGTTGAATGCTCAGGCATAGGCTAAAGGGTGCCAATAACACAACTGACAGTACCAGCATCTGTGCCACAACTTGCAAAGTGCTCGCACAGAGGCGGTACCATATCCACCATACACACTGCTGCTGCTCCTGCCTCAGGAGGACCCAGGGTCTCTTCTCACTGCTGCAGGGCTACTGAGTATCTGTGCCTCAAAGCAAGCGCTCAGAAACTTTGTGGTAAAACAGAAGTTTGGTAAAGAGGCAGCATAGCTCACAGCCAATTCACAAAACTTCACCCTCTGAATACAGCACAAAAACTACTTATAGTCACAGTCACACTCAGACTATTTGCTTTGTGCCAAAAATGATTGCACTGACTGCACCAGCATTTTAGTAAATAAACAAACAGCATAAACACAACAACTAAGACATAAAACACAAACAGAAGACTCAGAATATCAGAAATTAAATAAGATTTTGATGACCCTTGGCAGCAGAAGAGATTAAATTTTGGTACTTTGTTCCTGCAATCTCCCAGCAAAAACTTTATCATAAATGCTGACTGTTGTGTCTTTATGCACAGTAAACAGCTGGAAATGAACTTTGCTACTCTTGCTGTTGTTTGTAATGCTTTGTGACAGAGAGCAGTAGATACATACCCTGTCTTGCCAACACACAAGGCAAGCTACACAGCCATCAGTTCCCTCTTTTGTCCAGGTGACATCCTAGGAAGGAAGTAAGGATGCAGGATGAAGAGGCTCAACTTTTGTCTTTTAACATGGAGATCAGTTGAGTAATTATGCTCTCATCTTTAGAAAAAACCTCGCAGTTTGAAGGGGCTAACTGTGATTCTGAGTCAAAAATCCGTGTTTCTAACTCCTGATAACTCCTTCTGCAGGGGAAAAAAATAAATAAAAGAGAAACAGTGAAACAGCAGGGAGAAGGCAAAAAGCCACAGGGAAAGCAAAATCCTGCCAGCAGCTGGCAATGGTGATGCTGCTAACAAAAGGTAGCAGCAACACTGGAATGAGACGTAAAAGAAAGAAGAAATGAGAGTTTTGGCATCTTCGAGGCCTAATTATGTCACTGAGACCTGCAAACCTTGGAAGATGTCCCATAGGAGAGGAGTTTCAGAGAGCTATTTGCTCAGTGTTGGATTTCTGTGAGCACTCCACTGGTTAGTGAATCTTTGCTTTCATAAATGCACACAAAAGTGCAAACCTGCTTTTATTCAGCCTCTTACCTAAGTGGAAGCCTATCTGCCCATGTTGACAGAAGGTATGCATCCTGTTAGGCAGCTGTGTAAGCCCAGAAGCACAAATGACAACACAGGTTTCTGCTGGTCCCTAGAACGCAGCCTGGATTCTTCAATAAAGAAAGCAATAAAATCATCATTGACAACAAGAAAAACAAAAACCCAAAGCAAAGCAAAGCTAAAATGAGTCTTATGCAACAGAAGAAAAAAAGAGAAGTACACTACTCATTCTGAAAAAAAAAGAGAAGTACACTACTCATTCTGAAAAACTGTTTTTTTCTTAAGAAAGGTTTTTCTTAGTAAGACCTTCTCTCTTTCTCAACATACACCATCACAACATGATTAACCTTCATATAGAAATCTACTCTAAAAAAGCCCAGGCTATTTGTAGCCCCCAACAGTCATCACCTACACAAAAAAATGTAACACAGCATGTCTCCATTTCAAAATATATCATCAGTGCTGGACAACTCAGAGATCTCCCCCAGTCCTCAGAGAAGCATTTTAGGGCCTGATGTTAAATTTCATGTCACTGTAGCCTAAAAATCTACAGCTTCAAATCCTTCTGTGGATCCTTTCTCACAGAGGTAGAGGAGATGAACAGCATTTGAGAAACAGAGACCACAGCTATGTTTTTCAGAGACAGACTGATTGCTGTGATGCCCACCTCCACCAAGCATACCTTGCTTGGTTTCTGCAACCTGGTGTTCACTGTACAGCAACAACTACTCTGTTCTGTAGCCATTATATTGGGATCCTTCGCTTGAGACATTTTGCATGAATGAATTATCCCCAACAGAATACAAAAGTTTGCCTCCTCTCTGAGAAACCAAAATCTTCCCTACAAGGATAATGACATGTCTTACAACAAAGCAGACCATCATTGGTCCCCCCAGAACACAGCCTACTGTTGTAAAGCAATTCTGATAAGGTATCAACGATGTTGCCATAATTAATAGACAATAAGCCTAAGTAGCTACCAAAGCACCACACCTATATTTACGCATCCACGTGCCAAGGAAAATGCACACTGCCAAGTTGGATGATCATAACTCATGCAAGGTCACAAGTGGAGATTCCACTCGCTGTTTTGTTGTTTGTCTAGATCCTACAGGGCCTCCTCCTTGCTAAACTCCAGCAAGTTTAAACAAAGCATTTAGCAGCATGCTACACATTACATGAAGTAAGCTAGAGGTCATGGAGAATGAATAAATGGGGCAGGTTAAGATTGGGAAAAACTTGTGATGTGAGTCACAGAAACACACAGCACTAAAAATCTGCTACCTGCATTCCTTCGATAAAGAAGATTTGGTGTCAACATTTTCTCTAGGAAATCCCTTGTCCACATTTGATGTGCCTGCCTATAACAGAGTCACGGCTGTACAGCCTGTTAGAAGCTGTGGTAGGTTAGCCTAGTCCAGCAGCCAGACACCCATCCATTCACTCCCAATCCTCAACAGGATGCAAAATCTCATGGGTCAAGATAAAGACTGGAAGATTGCTTATTAGTTACCATCATGAGCAAAACAGACTCAACTTGGTAAATTTTATTTAATTTCTGGACAATTAAATGTAGGAAGTTAGAAACAAAGACAAAAATTCCTCTCTGCTGCTCCCTCCTCACCCTTTTCTCCTGCTCCAGCATAGGTCCCCTCCATGGGCTGCAGGTCTTGTGGATAAACCTGCTCCAGCATGCTCCACAGGCTGCTGAGGAATCACTGCTCTGGTGCCTGGAATACTTCCTCCTCCTCCTTCACTGACCTTGGTGTTTGCACTGCTGCTTTACTATCTTTCCCCTTCCCATCCTCCTCTGCCTGTTCAGCATTTTTTTGTACACTTTTATAAATACATTTTCACAGAGATGTCACTGGTTTGGCTGCTGGGCTCAGCTGTGGCCTGCAGCGGGTCCATCACAGAACCAGCAGGAACCGTGTGTGTTCTCTTCTCAGGTCTTTTCTCACAGAGGCCATCCCAGCAGCAGCCCCGCTGCTGATACCTTGACACCTACACTCAGCTGAAAAGCCTACCATGAAACCATTGCAAGACTGAAGGGGAAATGGGAGTGAAAATTCCTCCACATCACCCCCTAGTGAGACAAGAAACGTCAGTACAAAGTCATGGATGCATGCAAACTATCAACAACATTACATATTTGGAAAGCATACAGGTGCTCATCCTTACGATTTGCGGGGAAGAATCGCTCAGGCCTGAACTCCTCCACGTCACAGAAGATCTTGGGGTTTCTGTGTATGGCATGAATTATGATCTGAATATTCGTGCCATTCAATACTTGATATCCTTCAAAGGAAAAAAGCAAAAGGGAGAAGGGTCAAAACAACAGCAAATTAGTGACTATCTATAACTGCTTCACTATAAAAAAGAGAAAAACCCTACCCTTTACTTGGTAAACTTTCTCAGTACTCTCTCATGCACCTTCTAGCACCCATCCCAGCTACTTTTATCTACTTAAAGCATCTTGAATGGCCACATGGCATATCCCATTTCTTCAATCTTGGCAAAGGAGGAATGGAAATCTTACCAAACATCTCATCCAGTTCTCTTTGAACCTTCTTTTGGGCTTCAGGATTATGCCCAAGTAATTGGGCATTGCAGGGTGTGCAGAGATGCAGTTAGAAAAACAAAAGCTCAGCTCAAATTGAAATTAGTCAGAGATGTCGAAACCTAGAAGAACAGAATCTTCAGATACTATCATGGCCTCAGAGCACAACTAAGTACCATGCAGACACCTCACTCCAATGGCATGGAGAGGAGTATCAGAACAAAGATAAAACCATCAGTTAAGAACAGTTTAATGATTGAAATACAGTAAAATAAAAATAGGAAAAGGAGAGGAATAAAACCCAAGAAACACAAGTGATGCATAATACAATCACTCACCACCTGTTGATCGATCAATCCCCAGTCTGCCCCTGAGCAGCGATGGGCCCCTCCCAGCCAACTCCCACTATTTCATATACTGTGCACGTCATTCTGTGGTACGGAAAATCCCTTTGGGCAGTCAGGGTTAGCTGTCCTGGTCATGCTCCCTCACAGTTTCTTGTGGATCTCCTCACTGGCAGAGCATGGGACACTGAAATGTCCTTGATGTAGGACAAACACAACTTAGCAACAACCAAAACATCAGTGTTATAAACATTATTCGCATACCAAATTCAAAATATAGCACTGTGCCAGCTACTAGGAAGAAAATACACTCTATGCCAGTTGAAACCAGGACAGGTATGTAAACAACAAGCAGAGACAGACAAAATATTTGCCTGCTGTTGAACAGGAGAGATGAATTAGTCACCATCAAGGCTGAAAAGGCAGATGTACTTTCTTCACCTATGTCCTTTCCAGCACCAGGCCTTAGGAACAAAAATCCTGGCTGATGCAAATGCAGACCCACCATGGGTGAAGGAGGGGTTGGTATGTGAACTATTAAAGGAGCTTGACCCCTACAGATTGATGGGCTCTGACAGTACCCAACAACGGTGTTAAGAGAGCTGACTGACATGGTGCAAGGCCACTCTCCATAATCTTCGAGAAGTTGGGGAGTTCGGGAGACATCTGAGAAGACTAAAAGGCAGCTAATGTCAATCCCATCTACAAGAAAGGTTGAAAGGAGGATGCAGAAAATGGCAGGTCCATCGGTCTTACTCTGGTCCCTGGCAAACTTACAGAACAAATTCTCCTGGGAGCTGTCACAAGCCTAATGAAGTATGCGATTAGGAAAAGCCAGCATGGATTCATGAAGAGCAAAGTGTGCTTGACAAAGATGACTGCCTTTTACAACAAAGTATTGCCTTTTACAACAAAGTAACCTGCTCAGTTGATACAGGGCAAGCAGTGGACACTGTCTACCTGGGTACCTCAGAGGCTCTGATATGATTTCCCACAGCCTCCTCCTACAGAAACTGATGTGTGATGGTCTGGACAAGTGGTCCATGTGGTGGGTGGGGAATTGGCTGACCAGCCACAGCCATAGCGTGGTGTAAATAGTTCCCTTTCAAACTGGCAACTGTCACGAGTGGAGTCCCCCAGAGATCGATATTAGTACAAAACGGTTTAATATTTTCATCAGTGATTTCGATGATGGGATCAAGTGTACCCTAGTGAAGTTCACCAACAATACCAACCTGAGTGGGGAAGTGGACACTTTGGAAGGGAAAGCCACCCTGCAGGAAGACCTGGATAGGTTGGAAGAGTAGGCTACCAACCTGATGAAGTTCAGAAGGACATGCTAAGGTCATGCATTTGGGAAAATTTACTATAGGAAGAGCAGCACAAGCTGTGACCTACCTGGCTGGGGAGCAGCTCTATGGAAAGGGACCTGGGGGAACTGGTGGAGTATGAGTACAGCTCAGTACAAGTGAACAGTTGGCTGCTGCAGCAAAGAAAGCCAAGACAGTGCTGGGTTGCATCAACGAGGACATCACCAGCAGAGATAAAGAAATCACTATCCCACTTTACACAGAATAGTGTTTAGTTTTGGTCCCTGCTATACAAGAAAGATGTGGACAGGCTGGATAAGGTGAAGGGCCACAAAGATGAACAAAGTACTGAGAAACCTGCTGTGGGAGGAAAGTCTGAGAGAACTGTGTTTGTCCAGCCTGGAGAAAAGAAGTTTAGAGGACACCTTATCATCATGTCCCTATATTTAAAGGATAGATACAAAGAAGATGGAGACTCTCTTTTCATAAGGGATTATATGGAAAAAGTAAGGGGTGATGGGTGCAACTCATACTTGGGGAGATTCTGATCAGATACAAGAAAATTTTTCATTGTGAGAACAATCAGCCATTGGAATGATCCCACTATGTGGGAAGTTGTGGATTCCCCAACACTGGACACTTCAAATTCAGCTGGGAAGGGTGCTGGGCCATCTCATCTAGACTGTTATAGCCATAGTCAGGAGTTTTGCCACTAAAGATTGGACCAGATGATCCTTGAGGTCCCTTCCAATATGGAATGAGTCAACGATATGATGATTATCAGGATGAAAGATGACTGTGATTCTGTCAGGTGCCCAAAAACTGACCAAAAGGGAAAAGTGTTAAAATACTTCTGGTAGATAGCAAACGTTCCTCTTCCCTCTCTCCTGCCAGCTGAGAGCATTCCATTGCTGCTCTAGTAATTAGCAGACTGTTTGTTGTTCTGCTCTTCTCTCCATATAGAGATCAACTGACTGAGCACCATTGCTACACAGATGTCAGCAATCTTCTCTCTTTGGCAAAGCGCCAGATGATGAACCACTCCTCAGTGATTCACCAGTTACCACTTCTGTTGTTACAGAATCGACTAGTGCACGTTCATCTTTTCATTTAGTTCACAACATAAGATCTGCATTGCTACGAAATGCAAAGTACAAGATGGAAAGGGACACATTTTGCCATCACTTCTCTGCATTCTTGTCAAGGTCTGTACAATAGAGGAGGAAGCACTCGCAAGAGCAAAAGTATATTCTGGACATGTTGCTGAAGGCATTAATTCTGGAATTTTGGAAAGTGAATTTTGGAAGTTAAGTCATCTTTGACATGAGATTTCTGAAGAAACTTCATCAAATTGACCTACAACTGTATGAAATTGCTCTGCAATTCCAAAGTTCAAGCATTCTGCTTTCTCAGATACTATAACATACCATCACCAGTGAGTGAACTTAGTGTAGTCAAAGACAAATACTTAGCCAGTATTCAAAAGAATACAGTGCTTACAAACCATTTACAAAAAAAAAAGAAATCTGATTAACAGTATAGATACGAAATATACATTACAAATGCTTTGGGCCTTGGGTTATCAATCCTTGAACATTCATAAAAAGTGAGGAGAACTGGTATTAGTTCCTAAGTAGAAGAAAAAACTGTTACTAGTCTTAACTGCACAATTTGGGCAAGTAACTTTTTCTCATCCTTCCTTTACACTTCAACAGCACTTCAAACACATTTGCTTCAACTACTGGCTCTGTGATGGAAGGAGGAATCCCTGACTGCGAATGCTCACAGCACTAATAGCCAGGGATCTGATCAGTGCTTTGTTTGCTGGACAAAACACAATTCCAAGTCTCCTCTTTGATCTTCCCATTTGGGTCTACACAAAGAGGTATGAAATGATGCTTTCATCAGTTAAGTACATATTTTCTTGTTTAAGGCTCACATATTTCAAAAGATGATTAATTTGTACAATAACACACATTATTTTATAAGAAATCTCAAGAAGTGGGAATAGTCTTACAGACTTGTCAGCACACTGGTTCAATTGCTCAGCATCTATAAACATGTTCGGACTGGCAGGGAAAAAATATTTCCTGTAAACAAAGTTTATCCCAGCAGTTCCCATAGTTATTGATGATCAGAACAGTGTAAGCAAAAGCAATGAATGAATTCCGTTACAAAAAATTAAACGACAAAGAAAAAGTAGAGATAGACAATATTTGTAAGAAACCAACTGCTGTAAGCAGAAAAACAGAGAAATGTTGAAACAGTGATTAAGGAGGAAGTACTGCGAACTCCTGTTTAAAAGTATAAATTTTATATATGACTGATGTTTACATAGTCTAGAACATCCTTAACACTGAGCAAACAAAAAAAGTGGGAGCAGGACTTTACAGCCTCAACATAACTTATTCACTTCTACACACTGAATAACAATTCCCTATGAAAGACAGAAAAAGGAGGAATGCCTGAGAAGAAAGTGCAACAGCAACATCTCGACGCTGCGAACAGAGCAGACACCTCAACCATTTATTTCATTTTGCTCTAATTTTTAATCTAACCTCTGGTCAGACAATTTTAAAAGAAGGCAACGCAGATATCCTGAAGATCACAAGGCTCAGTAAGCACCAGCATACTGCACACCTTCTTCATTACACACAGATACTAGGTGGTAAATTTATTGCTTCACTCAGTCATTCAGTGAAGAGAGTTTCTGCTTCTTTCTAAAATGGGTTAAGAAGCAATTTGAAATCTCTTTCTTGAGGTTGAAGGATTTCTCTGAACAGATCTGTAGTGATGCTGTGAGCCTGGAAAATATAAAACACTGTTATAATTGTCATAATTCCTGAAACACACTCCAAGTTTATATGTAAGTTACTTCCACTAGTCTGCTCAGATCAATGTTTGCTAACCTACCCTTATTTTTACATCACCTTTTATATAATTATGTCAATTCTATAATCGTTTAAACTCAAGGAACTTCCAAACAAGTAAGGGTTATATACAAAGACTCAAACTAAGCCAGGAACTAGCTAGTCAGCTTTATTGTAAAAATGAAACAACATGAGCCACACAGGGTTGCTCTCTTTTCGGTATTATAACTGAAAGACACAGTTGCAAGTCAATATTGATCTTTTAATTTAAGAGAGCTTTATACTTCTATTAAAAATGCATATTTTAAACTTTTTTTTCACATAGAAAGTTTACTAATTTGGGAGCTAAAGTAAAATTTGTCATGAATAGCTCACGAGCATGAATCTGTGTTACTACTCTAGCAGCTGCAAAAATATCTAGCCTGTACATGTGTACACCACTTACTCTTGCCATAATTGTAAACATACTGAAATACTAAAAAAAAAAAAAAAGAAAGAGAGAGAGACACAAGATGATGGGAAATCCTTCTCCTTCCATGTCATAACAACAAAAAGAAGCTTTACAGGATTCCTACCAATCAGTTAGGACTAACTCAGACCAAGTGAGAAGAAACTGCAAAACCAAACTCAAAAGATCCTGCCAAGCACACCTGTTCTTTTATGCCAAGATGGCTCCTCCTGAGCACTTCACTTTTTGACTGTATGATGGCTTCATAGATTTTTC